GGAATGAGCATGCAAACATCAACAGAAGGGTGGAACTGTCCCTGTGAGTGCTGCCTTCGCATTTTTCATCAGCTTCTGGAAACAGAAAACTTACCTTCCTCAAAGCTGAATCTGGTAGAAACTATTCCTAGACTCAAACCATGAAGATCCCTCCTCTTAGGAGGCCTGAATGAAAGGCAGAAAATAAATCCATATGTTCCCCACCTTTATTCTTAACTTCATCTTTCCCAACTAGACTTTGACTTCCGTTTTTTCTGAATGGCCCATTAGATGCCATAAGTTCAGAACGATAAAGAAGAATCAAAGCACTGTTCAAATATCTTAACCACTGTCGATTTGTTCTGTATGTTGGCACTTCTATGTTTTTCTCCTCCATCCTATTTTCCCTTTCTTACAGTGCTGGGACACGAGGATACCTTGACTAAGTGGGTTATTGATTGGATACCAAATGGTCTGGACCGCCCATGAGATCATATGACAAATTCTATGACAAAGAGAAATGTCCTGAAAAACAGGTTACTCAAACCCACAATCCATTTCATCGCAATTCATTTCACAGCAGAAATATTATGGATGTATTTTGCCATTTTCAAGTTACACTTTAGTTGTGCAGCTGGCCTTAGAAAAGGGAGTTATGGATTGGTAGGTTCCATTACAGCAATACTGAAGTGTGCTTTTTATTTTTTATATAAATCAATAGGAAATAACAATTTGTCCAGAGACAATATTTTCCCTCAGAATGAAACTGCATAGTAAAACCATCCCTGTACTACAGCATTAGTCAGCACCAGTGCAACTGCAGTAGTAACAAGCAGTAAGAAGCAAAGGTGGGCATAACTCAGGCTCTTGCAAAATCAGATTGTTATAGTTGGCTGGTAAAAAAACATCTGTGAGACTGATGAAGATAATATTACTAACCGATGCTGCACTGCTGGCAGTAATGCCTAAAATATGTCCACTATTTTGTTCTTAATAAAGACAAGACCTTGTTCTGAATTACAATGAGCACAACTTACCCTTGCAATCCTTACCTAGCAAGGCCCAATGGATGCAGGTAGATCTCATTACCAATGCTTTATGACTGATATCTTTGCTTTTACAGCAAAAATGTTGCTGCATTATAAAAAGTAATAATCAGATTTTCCTGATTATTTTAACGATAGCAGGCAAATTGGAGAAAGATTAACCTGCTGGATCACTGAACATGTTTGGCATGGTATGAAATCCTCTGATTTCTGTACCATGCTAATTTGGTAGCCCAACTAGGACGCTGAAGAAACATTAAAGATAGTCCAAAGATGAGAGTTACTTACCCTACTTTTGTCCTTTTGTTAACATCTCTCAGCAAGAACACAAGACTGGAAGGGATCTTCTTAGCTAACAAATCTAGTTCTCTGCCATCACAAGCAATCATGTCATATGATTGCTTTTATAAATTTATCTGACCTCCTTTTTAAAGTATTTTAAAGTACTCTTAAAGTACTCACTGCTGTACTCAGTTACTTTTCTGATACTTGGCCAATCTTCTTGTAATTTACAGTGCTGATAAATCTGGACTTTAAGAGCTACTTTTTCTCCACTTATTCACAAGGTGTTAATAACATATACATCTTCTATTCCTAAATTTAACTTCTAGTTCATGTTTCCCTGTGAATAAATCTGATTCTCATATTACATGGAACTGCATACCAGTTCCAGTTCCAAATCATGAGTTGCTGTAAATCAACACAGTTTCAGTAAAGCTACACGTGCTTAATTTGTGCTAGTTGTGGAACTGAGTCAACAAATAGTGAGAAGCAAACAGAGGACATAGTCCCCAAAGGAACAAAAAAATAAAACTGGCAAAATGGAGAAGATTGCAGACTCGCTAAGTCCCATTTCTTCATTGTAGTGCACAAAAAGATTAGCCTGGCAGTAAATCAGCTCTCTGTCTCACACATAGAGAAAGTTACTCGAATGGGGACTGATTGCAATTACAAGATGGATCTGGTAATTGTGTTATGACCAGTGATTCCTGAGTTACTTCTACAATGAATAGTACATGTGTATTGTGTGATTTCTGTTAACATCTGGCTTAGACGTGGCAATTTGGTTGTAGCACGTTAACACATACACTGCCATCAGCAGAAAGCAGGAGCCAAACCCACAAGTCAACCATGCACAGGATTTCTACTGAGTAAAAAAAAAAAAAAAAAAAAAAAAAAAAAGGAAAAAAAAAAAAAAAAAAAAAAAAGAAATCCCATATGTGGAAGGGCTTGCATGATCAGACCACAAATTCAGTCCTTCATTTTTTCTTTTATTCAAAAAATTACAGTTGAGCAACTGCACAAGATCTCACAGTAACCCTGGATCTTCCTTTGGAAATTCTCCTCAAGCATTTTTACCAAAGATGAGTTAGACCTGTGAAAGTGGGAAATCCTTTTTAAAGAATTTAATGTGGACATAACACCCAATTAAAATGGAAAGTTCTGTAAGATTACACAGAAATGAAAAACAGTTTAGTGTTTTCTTTCTTACAGAAACAGCACATTTTGGCCAGTGTACCATCACTAGTGTTCATGAAGAAGCTGTAGAAAGGAAGCTCATTAAAGAACACCAAAACAGTTTTGCTGCTGAATAATGTGCTAGATGGATACTAGATCATGGTCACTAACATACAAAGATTAAGTTTTTTATTGTTTCCATCAGTGATGTTAAGAGGTTATATTAGATTTCTTTTACAATTGCCTGTCTGACTACAGACATATTCATTAACAGATGCATGGGAAGGTTAATGGTCATATAGTATCAGAGTGGCTTTTTCACTGTACTTTCGTAAGATTACCCAACTCCTAGTTATGGCAAACAATGCAGTTCAGGTGGCTTAGAGAGATCTGGCCTTTCTTTTATGACTAATCATAGGATAATGTAATTATTATGACAGTGCTACCAAAAGATAAGAATTTAGAAAGTTGGTGCTCACTCTGCTGTAATTCTGTTCTTTTCATCATCTGAGCTTTTAATTTCTTCTTTAATCTCCTATTTAGCTTATATTATAACACAGATTAATATTATTAATTCTGTTTCTCTGACTCAAGTACTCCCAGTTTGGATGAAGAAAAAATAAAGGTAAGGAGCATAAAACCTGCGAACTGCTTGTACAAGCAGTCTTATCTTGCTCAACTTGTCTGAAAGTCCACTTCTATTTCACCGCCTCAATATGAAAGCAGAGATTTAAGTTTAACTTCCCTGTTTAAAAATTCTGGCCATACCATCTCTTGATACCATACTGGAATTTATTTTACAATGGCTTATTAAAAGGTACGCAGTATTAATGTTTGCTTCCATTCTGGTTCTTTTTTTCCTCCAAAACACCTAACCAAAAATAAAACTAATAATTAAACACTGCATAGAGAAGCAGCCTAACAAATGCTGGTAACCAACTTGTCAAGTCCTAGTTCCTAAAAATGGAAAACTAGGCAAAGAGCTACATTTTCTTCTCTCAGAAGAGTCTACTGTTACAAACCCTATCCACAGGAGAATATTTATTTCATAGACAAAAATAATTTTCCATTACTGTCTCTTTTGTATGTGTGTCTAATATTTAACTGGTTATCAGTTTCTAATAACATTTCTTGAAAGCTAACATTTAGTAACTGCTACTCTGGTTATAAGCTTAATATAAAAAAGATTACAATATTTATTCTGTATAAGAATGTAGTGAAGCTAGTAAATATTTTAATATGTTACATCTTTTTTAAAATGAATGTAGAATTATGCCTCCCTTGAAAAGCAGTACTGCAACTTTATTTCTACTGAGGATCCCCTTACATGTGCTAAATTCCAGTGCCTCCAAATAGAAACCTATCGTAGAGCCTCCCCTCCCATCTACACATCTACAGGCAATGCGTTCTCACCAGTCATTCTCATTTTTTGGCTATGCTGATTGCATTTCAAAAAGGCTTGTGTTAAATCTCTTTATTCTAATGCCTTCCATGTAGATGGAGAACTTGCCGGACCTACACATCTGGACAAATTGGATTGGGCAAGGCTTTCAGGGAGTGGGTACTTGCCGGAGTTCTGCAGCCTATATATTTAACAGGACATAAAGAACGGCTTGAAACAAATGCGCAGAGCTGTAAAAAACTAAACCATGGGGTGCACTGGAATTTAGGCCATCAACTTCCAACTCGAGCAACACACCATCCCAGAGCTAGGAAGTGGTGATGAGAAGGTCACAAACTAAACACTCTTCCTAGGCCAAAGCGTGGGGCTTCTCTCGGGCACTGAAAATAAGCATGGTCCTTCCTAACTGAGAAGGCAACCCTCAGCTTCTCAGAAGGCAAATCCAGCGTGAGGGAGGCAGCGAACAGCCACACTCACATTGTTCTCGACACACGATTACTGGGGATTATCACAGCATCGCTGGTGCCTGTTCCCTGCAGCTTCCAGGCACATCCCTGCAAGATGCTGCGCCCAG